GAACCAGCACTCTCACAATTGTCATCGTAAGATATTAAGATTTCATCAACCAGTGGCTTACGAAGATTTGAAAACATGATCTGTAATTATTGATACTGGATATTTGTAGGGGAGAAAGTAGATGAAAGAAATAAGAGGTGTGTAAGAAAATATAAAATCACTCAGTTAAGGCTCGAAATATCGATACAAGAGCGTCGTCACTCAGCTAAACTGAAAGGTTCGAAGCATCGACGTAAGAGCTTCGTTCAACTGAAAACCCTATCTCATCATTATTCACTCGCTTAAACTGGAAGGTTCGACTCTATCCCATCACCTAATAACATTTGAAAACAGTAAAATTATCTCCATTTTAACGTACGGATATCGCTAAAAACCAATACGTATATGCCGATAAGTTGTGATATTTTGAACTTAAATCTTGTTCATAAAGTATGTATTTGGTTTCGTGAGCATTAATGGATAGGTCATTTATTTGTAGTTTTTTACTTTAAATATTTATTTATACTTTTTCATTTTAAGCATTCCCTATTTTTATTGTTTGGTTGGATTTCATTTTATATGTTTTTTTACTCTCTAGCTCATATTAATACTTATTAAAATGTGTCACACCATTTGATTTTAAGAAACGTTGGGCATTGGGAAAATTAAGAATTTGACATTTTCCCAAATGTCCCACGCACAAAATTTAAAGCATTTCAGTTTTCTACCATTTATTTGATAAACAGTGAAACCAAACAGTTGTTTAATTTTCTTTATCTGCAATAAATGTTAATGTCTATTTGACATTTATGTAGCCGTGTTTTCAAAATCAAATACATACAAAATTAACCACAAACTTACGTGTTAAAAAGGTTTTATTTGCCACAAACTTACATGTTAAAAAGATTTTATTTAGATAAATTATAATGACCCCATATGGGGTCAGTGGCAAAGACTCCCTTATTTACTTTGCCATGATCGCTAGGGCAAATGATGGAAGACGTTAAATTATTAAAATACTCCATTAACCTTTCTTTTTTTTTGTCATTCTCTCTTAAAACCTAATTGACCATAAACTGCCTGTCTTACCCATTGGCTGGTGGTGACCGGTTATTCATTGTTGGCGAAGGTAATTCAACATGTCAGAGAGTTAAATAGCAGACCTAGCTCAGACATTCCCGAGCTCAAACTATTTCCTTCCAAGACGGACGAGATCACTATATTTTCGGGTGATTTTTCTGGTACCGGGAGATTGATTCTGAAAGCATCATTATGCTACGAAGACCGATCTGATCGAGACACTGAAATCCCTCTACCTGAAGACCATCCGAGCAGAAATGGCGACGTTGGGAGGTAGAGTCCGGAATGTTATAGTCGTCACAGGAGACAACACTCAACAGCGATGAATCGGGCAATAAATCAGATCATCGTCGGAGTTAAACCATTCCACCAAAGTTTTTTGGAGGTGCACAGAAAACTGTGATATTTCTCATATAATACTGACAGGAATAGATTCATTTGTATTTCATTTCACAGTGCTGAAGCACGACCAAATGACCAATAAGATAACTCCCGAAGTGGTGCCTCTTGATACATTGGTATTTTGGTGTCTCTTGACTTCTATATACTAAAAAACCCCAAAACAAATCCCACATCAACTTTCAACTTTCGCCTGAGAACTCAAAAGAGTTGCTGCTTTCACAGTAACATTCGGTATTCCAGCTAGCCTGTCTCAACCTTCCACTAGCCAATGCAAAAATTTTTAGTCAACTTGTTCTAAAGCCCAAAATTTATGTAATGGCATGCAAGGCTATAGAGTAGAAACCCATCAGCTATCTTGTGATCTTAATAGTTACAACGACAAAAAATGCCATCAGTGAAAAGCAAAATAAGTTAAGAATCAAGAGATTTAAAAATGGTTTGGACAACTGAACATATCCAGAAAAGCTTCTTCCAGTCCTTTGAGTTCTATTAGTTGCAGCAATTCCCTTGCATGATGCCTTTGATGCTCCAACCTGGTAAGGAGTAGAAGTGTAAATCAGGCCATGCCGCCTATGGCCCAGCACTATTTTGAGCCGGTCCAGCCTGGTCCGGCATGATAGTTCACAGGCCATGTCGGGTATGACACGATTGTATGGGCCATGCCGGATATATATTAAGATTTTTTTTTAAAATAAATATCATTATCCCAATCCATCGCCTGACCTGGCCTAAGGATTGGCCCACGAACCAATCCGACCAATAACACGGCACGAGCCTATGCAAGTTCAAGCTATAGGTCGTACTGGACCGACCCCCCAAAATATCATAGGGGAAAGAGGCACGGCCTGGGATGACCAACGAGCCGTGCCATGCCAGCCCGTTTGACAGCTCTAGCAAGGAGTGATAGTATTACACCCACATAAAGTCGGTCCATTCATTCTTTCGAGAGCATAAAAAACACCTCCTCCTCCATCACTCCTCATGTCACGGAAACAAGGCATCACATTTCCAGCCGCTTTGTAACAAGTACCGACCATCCCAATAAGTGTAGCTGAGTTCTCGTTGCAGCTTTCAGATTCTACTGGAAGGGAAGTAATTCTGTAGAAACAGGGATGCACTTCATGAATTTAGTGGTTGTGACTCCTTTCTGTTCGAACATGAGCCTTGTACAAAACCAAGATCTCCAGTTTCATTTTGCAGAATGTACTTCCACTAATATGCAATTCCTTCGTCAGCTTCCTTGGAAGCATCAGAAGTGAACACCAGAAATCGGTGATTCTCTGTGATGTAGGCGCACATGGCCTTGCCCAATAGCGGGCCTATGCGTGTTAGACGGCGGCGCTCAGGGCGGGCCCAATCAGGGTGTGTGCGGAACAGAACTTGACGTGCATTCCGAAACCAATGGCGCCAAGTCACTTGGCGATTTCAGATGACCGCGCCCCTCGCGTGCAGACTACATCTGGACTGTCCAAACCCACTTATCTCCAGGCAGCCTCAAGTATAAATAGAAGACAATCCCCTCAAGGTAAGGCACTGGAGCTTAGAATCAAGAACAAGAACTTGAGAACTCTTAATCTCCTTTGTGGCCTCGTCTGACCATTCACACCTCAGGCCTCATCCACCTTGCACCCCTTTCATACAAACTTGACCATCAGAATCTCCGCCTAGAGTACCAACCCGGGGCCTCTGATGTTCTCCTTTCTTCACTCCTCACGAGACAGACCTACCAGTCCCAGCCACTACGGGTCTTGGACTACTCAACCACACTTCGATTTAGAAAAAAATTGACAGTGTTGCCCTCAACCCATTTTGACCAACAACACTCTACAACCATGTCAGTAACGGTAGGTCAATCCTCACCCTTCTTTGGCATCTTTGAGACAGGAAACCAAAACTTTAGTAATCCTGCATTTGTGAAATGCTTTGTCAATGCCTTAAGCATGTGCACATAGTCCTCACATAGTCCTCAATTATGATGGCCACGATCTGTGATGGGTTTTCACTAAAAAATGCGTCTACTTCCTTCAACGTGTTGATTGCAGGTTCAAAGGCAGTGAAGTTGTAGCATTGTCCATGCATAGAATGGAAGAGCCAGAATTCGTCCTCGAAATCATACTATGTCCAACATCAATATCAACCCTCTTACACCATTCCTCAACTGATTAGAAAGTCTTCTTGATTATAAAATGTCATCCTCTGGACACCGGACAGGGGCGGTGCATCAACAATAGAGAACGAATTGTTGGTTACCAACCATGAATACTTGTTGAAGGGAAGCCCCAGAATAAATGATTTCGGTTGGATGGCTTGGTCTCTGGTGCAAGTGGGCTCTCTCTTCTTGCTCGCCGGACAGTTGCCGCACCGCTGTACAGACCAGGACACGAGTTGAGAAACTGACATTTCCCGTTGGAGCACGCGCAGCAACTGAGGACAAAGGTTGAGATGATGAACAAAAGAAGAGAGACCCTCCTGCAACCGCTCTGCATGTCTCCCGGTGATCCGCGGAACTGGTTAACATGGTGGCTAAGTTGCAGCTTCAAATCTCCTATGGTAAAATTTTGCCATCTTTTCTGTATCTTAGTAGCCAATTAAAAAGAAAGAAAACAAAACAAAAATGAGACTAAGAGACAGTCTCTCGTAATTAAGTTAGTCTTTTACACGGTTTCTTGTTTCTAGATTGTCCATTGCACTCGGAGTTAGTTCGTGGTTTATGTACATTTTCTAGTCGTCGCGCCGGAGAGGGAGACAACAGCAACGAATTCATCTGCTTCTTACGGGATGCCTTGAAAACCTTGGTGGAACCGTCAACTCTTCTTCTTCATCGCCACTACCTGCCTATCTCTTATCCATCGCCAACATAAATCAGATCTGTCTTCTTCAGTTCTTGCAGATGACGTAGGTGGTGGCCGGTGTATTGTGGCGGTTCCGGGTTGTGCCAGCGACGGAGAAAGATTGTGCGGGCAGTCACTTTGTTCCCAAGGTGTAAAAAAATAAGATAATTTCATAAATTAAAGGATAGTTTGCACATTTAGAAAATTTTAAACAGTCATACAGGGGGTCTTTGTCTATCTAAAGTTCAGGGGGTCTTTGTTGCAGAAAAAACGTATAGGAGGTCTTTGTCACTGACCCCATAGTACAGGGTGTCCAGCTAATTTATCCAACTAATTTTACAAAACAGTACAAATTAAGACGTATTATTGCTTTAGGTTTCCAAAGACTCAGTTTGGAAGCAGTACAAATACATTTTCAGCGTAAATACATACAAAATAATACAAAATACAAGATTTTGCACTCTACGTATTTGCATTTGTACTCCTTCCAAACTCGGCCAAAGTAACAGTAGAGAATTCAAAGAGTGGGATGACTAGAATTGTCGCCCCATTCAGTTATTTATATTAATAATCAAAATAAGGTGAAAAGGCTGAATTACCCCTACTGCTTATATAAGCAAAGAAAAGAAATAACTACCAACTGAAAATAACTACCACTAATCATAAATAAACGAACAGTGGGGACCACATTAATGTTCTCTACAGTAATAAAAAGAAAATATCCACCCCTTCAAAAATCCATTCAGTACCCTTTAAACCACATCAATAATTTGACCAGTCAGACCAAATGCAAGGATACAGCTTAAAAAGTCTTCACTAGCATTTTCAGCAAAAAAAAAAAATGTTACACTAAAATAAATAACTGTACATGGAGATAGAATCTTTTTGGTAAGTGTACATAGAGAATTAGAGATAAATAATCTAGACAGAAATATAGTGACATAGTTGTTAATACAAAGATATTCTCACTTCCCCAGAGAGCTTCCCTCCTTTCTCCAGACACTGCGTCATTCAACGATCCCTCTAAAGATGTATGAACAGTTGGACACCAATCTGATCAGCTTGCCAAAATATAACTAATTACGTATCCTTGGGTCAGCATGATCAACAACTAGTTGTGTATAAGAGTGTAAATTGCTCAGAGAAATTGAAACCACAACAATGTTCCATTAAGTCACCTTCAGCAAGGGGCACCAGCATCTTTAATGATCCATTTTACAATTAGGACTTAGGAGACCTCATTTTCTCCAGCAGCCTTACTTTATCTAACAACTCTTGTATAGTATTAGAAGCATCCTTCAAGAAATAAAATTCACCTCATGAAACAAATACATAGAAAGGAATTATTGAGAAGCAAATTTAAGGAGAAACCTCTTCCTCACCTTCAACTTTTTCCTCAAATTCTCCTCTTCACTGTCTCTCCGATTCCTCTCTTCTGAAAATATGTCTATCAAAGCCTCTTGTTCCTTGTTCATCTCCTCAATCCTTTGCTCTGCCTCGTTAAGCTGGGCATAGAAAACAAAAAACATGCAAGAATGAACTGGTTCTATCAGTTGCACAGCGAAAGGAGAGCCATAATCATCTCAATATGTGCATATTACTGTAACACTATATCAAAGTTTAATAGGAACAGGAGAAGCCTCGGTAATGCTGGCCCACACAAGCAAAGCAAATGGCTAGTGATGGCATGGTCAAACGAGCCAGAGCCAGACATGAAACTAACATGCACAAAGAAAAGACTAAAAGACTATGGTCCTCTCAACGAGACCAAGATATAGAAAAACTGAGACATGTCTGAATCAGAAAACTAACAACTTTAAATTTTGTGTTCAGGAGAATTGGTCAAATTAATTGGACAAAAAAGTCACCGAGGACAATAAGTCCAGCTATTATGGGGGTATTTTCCAAGATGAACGTTTTGAGTTTTTTTTTTTTGTTTTCAAAAAGGTCACATCAGAAAAAAACATAAATGCATTCTTGGACATATATTTTCTTAAAAAAAGTGAATATTTTCAGTTTGATTCAGGGTACAAAACTCTGTGTTTCTGAAACCAACAAAAAGATGTTTTTAAAAATAAAATCATTTTCACTTTATAAGCCTGATATGGGCTACTATTTGGTACATACACCCAAGTTCTACTAAACACTCTCTTACAAATGTCAGTTTTAAAGCTTATATTAATTATACCAACTCGTATTTAAATGGATTTGGGTCCAAAGCATGAATAATTATGAAAAATAAAAAGAAAGTTAAGCTATTATCCATTTGATTATAATCTCTTACTGACTATGGTATGCTTTATGGAACATAACATCAAACCACCAAAGGAAATCATGTTTCTGAAACCAGAAATTCAAGACCATGTTTTTGGCTTTAGTTTTGGATAAACAAGAAATACACTGCACAAGCAAGAATTTATTTTCTCACGCCAGATGGGAACTTGGAACAACCATCATCCCAAGCCATGTCCAATATTATATACATTAAATTGGAGTACAAGATGACCAAGAGACTGAAATACAAGACCAACCCAACTTGTACAATTGGTTGAAGTGGTAGGGGAAGGTGAAGAAATGCTTACTCGGTCTTCTAGTGATTTACATCTATCTCTTTCAAATTGTAAAGCAGCCTCCACTTTCCTTAATCTAAAAAATAAAACAACTAAAATGTAAGGATAAGATTTCAAGTTACTTGCTACAGCAAGCACTACAAATTTTAATACAGAAATGGGGGGAACCTGTCAGACATATAATCCTCTCTGCCCAGCTGATTTAGACCATCTTCGCTATAACTGGAATGGGCACGCCTATCAGCTGCCTGCCAGTAAAACCATTTGTTAGCGCTTCTTTGGATGGGTGTATTGTGTGCGCATTTTGGGTGTTGGAGGAGAGGCTTACTTGTGAATTTGTAACAGAATTATTAAAGTAGTCACCCATTTTATGAAATAACAGAAATTGTATAAAAAATATGAAAGAATCCTTGTCTGTCCAAACCAGACAGTCACTCGTATGCCATTTAAACTCAGCATTTGAAGGAGCAATAAATATCAAGCTGTCTAAAAGTTTGATCAAATAAAATCTAGTCAATCTTAAAAGTTGAAGCATAAAGGCCTACGGAAGCTATTACTGTGTTTCAATTTGAAATCTAAAAATGATGAATTAACAAAAGGAATGCATAGCTAATCAAGTCAAGAGACAAGACCAAAAGTGAAGGCCAGGAACTCAGCTTCGTATTTAAGGGACCAAATCATAGTAATCTAATAATGATAGGAGTGAAGATCAGGGTACACTTAGAAATGGAGACCAAGAGAGATTTCAATGTGACCACTTCCGTTGCCTTGGTTTGATAATTCACAAGGGAGAGATTGAGGAGGATGTTGCATTTTGAGTCATGTGATGCGAAATACTACTTAGGCCAAAAGAAAAATTCTACAAAATGGTTATAAGGCCAGCAATGTTGTATGGAGAAGAGTGTTGGGCAACCAAGAATTGTGTCCAAGAAATGAGTGTGGTAGAAATGCAAATGTCAGATGGATGAACAAGAAAACCAAAAAAGATAGGACCAGAAATGAACTTATTTTAAGGAACCTGGGAGTAGTTACACTAGGTTATATAAGTGAAAGTAAATTAAGATGGTCTAATCAGTGTTTTAGAAGCACAAGGTGCAAGGGTCAATTTGCGCCTGAGGCACGCGCCTTTTTAAGCAAGGCGCAAAAAAATAAAAAATAAAAAAGCCAAAAAATTCAAAACAAAATAAAAAATCAAAAAATTATTAAACATAATATTATTAAAAATATAAACTTAAATTTTAAAATAAATGTTTTAAAAAAACCTATTATCTAAAATTAAAATACATAAATATAACATGTAAAGCATATTCAAATGAGAATTTAAAAATACAATCAAATTTATAAAACATTTTCAAGCATATAAAACCCAAAATCCCTTTTTTTCTCAATTGCATTACTTCAAGTAGCTAATGTGATGTAAAACATATTACATTCTTGATTCTATGAGCTGCCCTTGTGCCATGTCCCACGAGGCAAGCCTAAACAAGTCCACATTAGGTCTTAAATTCTTAGTTCTCACACAAAAAATAATGATTTTATAGTTTTAATTGCTTTTTAAGAAGATATTTTATTGGGATGAATGAATAAACATTACCAAATAGGGGGTTCTTGAAGCCCCCGACCCAACCACTAGACACAAAAAAAGCAAAAAAGCGTCAAATTTTCAAAAGGCGCACACCTAGGCTGAGGTGCAAGGTGCACCAAGTGCACGCCTAGGTGTGCGCCTTTTGAAGGGCTGTGCCTAGGACCTGGGTGAGGCATCTAGCCTAAAATGCACCTCGCCTATGCGCCTAGGCACGCCTTTTAAATCACTGGGTCTAGTCAAATGTAGAGAAGACCATTTACAACACTACTGAGAGGAAGTGACCTGTTATAAGTTAAAGGGTCTAGAATAGATAGAGGCAAACCAAAATGGACATGGGTTGAAGTAGCAAGAAATGGTTTAAGGGCTCATAACAATAGGTATGGCAACAGAGTGGAATGGCAGAACAGGATTCATGAAGCCAACCCCATAAAGTTGGGACAAGGCCTACATGTGTTTTTTTTTTTTTTGAAAAAGGTAAGGTAAATTTATTGATAGAATTCAGAACCATACAAAAGAACTCCCAGAAGAGAGCGAAGGCTGAAAACAGCCTCTCAGCTTACATTACATCTCAAATATACTAACAGATCTTAACTGAGACCCCAAGACCCTAGGCTGGAAGCCTTTCACACCTGCAGTCCAAGACACTAGCTTTCCCACTGCACCAGACACAAGACAGTCCACCTCCTTTTCCTTATTCTGAAAGATTCTTCTGTTTCTCTCCGCCCATATGGAACTGATAACCGCTGCAGGGATAGCCCACCACACACTTCTAGCCAGCTTAGAAAGACCTAACAAATCCCAACTCCTTAGCAGATCTGAGACCTGTTTTGGCATGGCCCAGGAAATACCTTCCGAAGAGAGAAAGTGGTTTCAAATTGCAGCCGCGAAAGGGCAATGGATGAAGAGATGATTGTTCCAAATCCCAACTCCTCTGCTTGCCCACACAGCTCACACAACATGTTTTGAATCAGAATTCCTCTTTTTGTCAAATTCTGTTTAGTTAGATTTTTTGTCCAATACCACCACCCACAGCAGTGCATTCACTTTGAGAGGAGGAATCTGAGTCCAGATTCTAGCAGCAGGAAAATTATCCAGTCCTCCACTAGCTAATCTTTTGGCAAAAGAGCTTACAGTGAATATTCCATCAACATTCCACTTCCAAATCCATGAATCTTCTTCCAAGGGGTTCAGAACTTGACTAGAGAGCAAGTCCAACAGGTTCACCACTTGGTCCACTTCCCAATCTTGGAAAGGTCTTCTGAACTTAGGGCTCCATGCAAGACCATTCCCCATCAGCTCACAACAATCTTCCACCATTACATCTTGATCCTCTGCGAGTTGAAACAGGTGAGGGAACAGCTCTTCAAGGGACCTATTGTTACACCAATTGTCTTTCCAAAATTTCAAGCGAAGACCTGAACCCAACTTAAGGGACCAACCACTTTCAACCAGAAGGTAGATTTCCGTAATTTTCTTCCAAAGAGAGCAACCCAAGGAAGGAAAGTTCAAGGTAATTGTCCAATCCCCTCCATCTGTTTTATACTTGTCAGCCATTAAAGACCTCCACCAGCTAGTTCTTTCTCTAGCAAATATCCAGATCCATTTACCTATTAAAGCTTTGTTAAAAGTTTTCAGACTTATCACCCCTAAGCCACCTCTTTCTTTCGGAGTACACACCTGTTTCCAATTGACTAAGTGTATTTTCTTTTCCTCCTCCCAGCCCTTCCAAAGAAAATTCCTTTGGAGCCTTTCTATTTTGTTCACCACTTTGGTAGGGATAGGGAAGAGAGAGAGGAAGTAGGAGGGGAGGTTAGATAGAGAGCTCTTTAGTAGAGTGATTCTACCCCCCAAAGAGAGATATTTAGCTTTCCAGGATGCCAATTTCCTTTTCAATCTTTCCAATCCAACACAAGGCCTACATGTGTTGAGTAACATATTTTCGTGATTTACATGTTTGTGGGGTTTGGCTTACAACTTGGTTTATCTATTATAGTTCATATTTTAAGTTTCAAAATAATTAGCTAAGAAGTTTAGGCTCCATTTGTTTGCACGGCAGATTTTGTATGTACTTCCATTTGAACTGGTTAAAATGCATGGGAGTGTAAATTCTTGTTTACTTTTGTTTCAGCTTTTTTTTATTATCGGTACAGTCAAATTTATTCAAATATTATAAAAGATTATATGTACAAGAGGAGTCCCCATTTTGTATGAAAGAGAATGTAGGAGGGTAGCTTGCATCAGTTTTTGGCAAGCAAAACTTGAACTGCTAAAATGAAACAAAAAAGTATAGATTTCGCATCAGGTAAAGGTGCAAAACTGCAAATCATAGATACAAACAAGTGAATGCAAATCTGATCCAGGTGTAAATTTGCATCTAGTTTGAATTCACACTGCAAACAGATGGAGCCATAGGAGTTATTAAATTTTTTAGTCAGAGTATGATAGTATAACTTCTACATTTTTCATTTTTCATTTTTCAGTTCTAGTAGGATTTGTCACCCCTATAGTGTCTAATATACCTTGTCTAAGTGCAAAAGTGTAGTGGAATAAATGTATTAAGTTTATTTGAGTTCCTATATTACGAAATGTGAGTGGTTCTCACTAGCTGTTGACTGATTTTGGGTCCCCCTCCTTCAGCAACCACCTATCAACAAATTCAAGAAAGAAAATGGAAGAAAAAAAAATAGAAAATAGAGGAGTTGAGCCTCTATTTTTGTCCTAGTAAAAGAAGAAATGAAAAGAAAGGACGAAAGAAGAAGAAAATCAATGTGTTTATTAGAGAAAATTGTGTTCTTCCATGTTTAGTAGGTCAGGTTTTGAAGTCTTTGAGGGTTCAAGACAATATACATCTTGATTGAACCCAAATAAGAAAAATAATAAAAAGTAACTAGTATTTCAACTCAAACTAAATTATTTAGTTTCACAATGTTTGATTTATTATTATAACCTCAAAAAAAGTTAAGAATATAAGTGTATCCAAGACCAAGGATCAACAGCACTGTGCAAAAACTATCTTGGTGATTGAATGAGGTGACCCTCCATGAGCGCCTTATTGCCTAGGCGTCACTCTACATGTTAAGCTACCTTGGTATTACCTCATTATCATAGTTAGGTAGTATATCCTAGCGATAGTCTCAATTGTATAGTGCATTGTCATTGTATCATTTGGTGTAGCAATTGCAAACATGACTTCATTGAGTTATTTGGTTTATTGCACAGCATGTTTGTGTTTTATTGCATGCTCACAAGAAATTGTTATAACTATGTGAACTCATGAAAGCCAAATCACCCAAGCATGCACTCACTCGGTGACTTGGTTTATCCTTTAACTTATGACATGTATGGGTTATTTTAGAGGCACAAGAAAGTATTATGACTATGTGAGTTCATCGTTCCACATATTAGGCCACCTTCATATTTCGTAATATTCCTAGTAAGGTAGTCTCCATTTTATCATATCATAGCGGGCAGTTCATGTATCACTTGAGGTAGCAATAACATGTATGCACTCACTAGGTAATTTTTCCTTTCATTTGATTGATAGAATGTCTATGCTTTGTTGGAGGGTTGCAAAAAGGTGTTGCGGCCATGTGGACTAACTGAAACCAAATCACCTAGGCATGTACTAACAAGGTGATTTGGTTTTAAATTTGATTATTAGCA